ATACCTGAAAGGGAGTTTGTCTGCTTGCATCAACATCACCTCCAACAACAAAGGTGAGTAACACCCCCATCTTTTCCTATGTACCTTGGTATATATTGTTCTATAAATGAATGTTGATATTAATGATGGTGAGATGAAGCTTCATGAGGCTTTGAACCGTTTGGGCAAATTGTTTCAACGATCCACACATTTTAGGATGCTTCATGTGAAAATGTCACCACCTACTGGCGGAGTGCAGAACTATAGTTAGTAATATAATCTGTGATTTTTTTTTTTTTTTGCAATTCTTTTTTTTTATTGTTATAATTGGTGTGCATGATAAATATTTTCTCATGGTTTATGTGCGTAAAATTTCTTAGAAGAGAACAATAGTTTAAGGTTCACTGTTTTTCTGTCATTATGGTGGCAATTAGTACAACTTGGCCGGTCATGAGCAACATGAAAGGTGTCATTATTATGTAAAAATAACAGTTTTTCCTAAATTTTTGGTTTTATTTTGGTTGGAAGTTATGTGTCCATCCAATCTAATCTGGCAGTGTTTTTACCTACTGTATATTGGTAAAAGGGCAAACCAATAAAAATGTATCACTTTGGCCATGATACTGGTTAAGTAGTAATACAACTTCAAAAGCCAAGGCTGGGTCTTGAACCAATAACCATTGGATTGAAAGGCAAAGTCACATCAAACGCCACTTTCAACAATAAACCGCACTGTAGAAAGCAAAAATACAATATAGGAATAATAAAACTGAAACCAGTGGCTTGGTCAATTTCTGATCATATTGTTTAATCTGCATTTTAATTGTTTATTTCCTTACATTATGCAATTATATACCATAATGTTAACATGAAAGGAAAACGGAAAACTCAAAAGGACTAGATTTATGTTTAAACCCAAAGCCGAAGTTAGCTCCCGGAAAAGGATTTTACAACATTTATTTTTCTAAGGAAATATATTATTAACCTTTAACATATATAGTACACTTACTATTTTTAAGAATGGAAATATGTAATTTAGGTATTTTTTGACAAACTAAAATCGAGGATGACCCAGATGTATATCTCGGCTCATCTCCTAACATCACTAGTTAATAAATAATAATAAGAATTGAACCTTATTGATCTCACATTCAAGAAATTTAGCTCTGCATTAAACCCATCCCTGTGGGGAGCAGTGGGCTGCCATTGTGCGGCGCCCTGGGAGCAATCGGGGTTTAAGGGTCTTGGTCAGGAACCCAGAGTGGAGGACGTGGGGATTGAATCGGGTGCTTGCAACCTTCTCAGAGCACAAGCTCACCGCTCTCTAACCCACTAGGCCAACACTCCTCTTGATATATATTTTATGATTTACATCGATTAAAAATGTTATGTTAATTCTCAAATGAGTTTTTCTGTAATATAATCAAAATTGTAACCTAATGAGTCTAGAATTGTGAATGTTTTGGAAAAATTTGTTTTCTTTGAGGTAACTTTGTCAGGTTTATTATATCTGAAATGTTAATATAATAATATTAGTGGAAAGCGTTTAGAATTAAGAAAGTAAAACCATATTTAAAAACAGTGTATTATATGATCACTATTTATTTATTAAAGTTAATTACGGCATACAGATATCAACAGATATCAAAAATAAACGATTCCTAATATATGCTGTTGTTATGGCCTACATAATCACAAAGAAATATGAATTAATAATTGATCCATTCCAACGGCAGTCATTGATGCAACTCCAAGGCAGGATAAACCACAAAGTTATTGCTAAAGGAACTGTTTACTTGTGTTGTATCCCAGTATGTTCATGCAAGAAAACAACAGGGATTATGACATCATTCAAATAAGAAATGGCAAAAATAAGTAAAATTGAAAACGGGGAGGATCAGTTGGGAGACAACGAGATGCAGACGTAGAAACTGAAGAAAGCTTCATATGGAGATGGCCAAACTGTACTTGGTCACAGAATATTCTCTGTAAATGGTCTTCCATTGTAGGTTACTTTGGAGTTTGGGAAAATCTCCATCAGAATGAAATCTTAATTCAAACGACTTCCCTATTAATTTCTGGGTTTGAGCCATACCATACAGCCCTCCACAGTTGGGACTTGTGCTTGCATTGACACAAAATCCCAACTCTAATGAGGCTCTTTCCTTCAACCAGGTCGCAGTTCTCATCTGTGAAGGAATGCATTGTATTAAAAGCCATTACCCTCCTGCCAAGCGCCGGTCCCGTCTGCTGCAGCACAGTCCATCAGTTCACAGGCTCAGCTGACTGATCGATAGACCACTTAGCGAAGTACGCACTTCCCAGTCATTTGACCTGCAGGAGCTGTTGGAATGGGAGCAAAACCTGATAAGCATTGAGCCAGTGAACCAAATATGCCGAACTATCAACTCAAGGAACCTTCCCCACTTCAAGGCAGATGTAGATGCTCGACAAATCACAGCTGTGGTCACACGCTCATACAAAAACAATACCTTTGTTATTAAAGGTAGACTGGGTAATAACTACAGGGATTTACTGACATAAATGGTACATAATCTATATGTATGTTATTTAAAATCACTTATGAACTTTGTCTCCCCCTATATGTTTGCCTTTGGAGTTCTAAAAGGGGGCAGTGGGTGGAGAAATACATTGAAATTGTTTCCAATTAAGTTATTTCCTCTACTCTGAGAAAGAAGATGCTGGAAAAGAGAATTTATGAAAATAATTCTGCAGGGTTTTAGATGATTAGTACTTCAGATAAACAATTTCAGTGCTAAAAATTGTGAAAGATTTATTTCAAAATGTGTTGAAAATTGTGTATGAAAATATTTAGTGCATTGATATTCGGTTCTCCTGAGTCAATATTTCAAAGAACTTCCCTTGTCTTCAATTACAGCTGTAAGTCTTTAAGGGTTTTTCTCTTCTAGTTTTTTTGAATACAGCAACAATAATGCCTTTACCTCTAGTCACAGATACTGAACCAGAGCTAGATCTGGACTTTGACTAGGCCACAATTACACATGAATTAGAGACGAACCATAAGAGCTGAGAGGTCTGGGTTGTAGATGCGCTGAAAGCATGTCTGTAATGTATTTTGGAGCTAGACCATTCAATGATTTATAGAATAACAGAAATATACAAGTCTAATTGAATTGAATTGAATTACTTGTGATGGTTTTCTATAATTAAAGACCGGGGTGCCAGTCAAGTCTCTCTTCTGACATATACGAGTTCCATTTGTTTGTATATATTTAGCTTGGAGTGCATAAACCACACAAAGCATCTAAACACATAATAGTGCTCATCACCCTATTTATTAATGTAGAACATAAAACTTCAGTGTATTAAAACATGAAAGAAAAATATTAATGATTATACAATGATAGAATTTCAAATCTTTAACAGTAAATCATGTCCCAGTAAAAAAAAAGAAGGGACTAACAAATAAATCCAGTTCAGGTTATATTGCTGATGAGTTCAATCCATGCAGCTTGAGCAAGAAAAAAATTAAAATAAATAGGACAAAAAAACTCCAGTCTGCGTTTTTCCACCAATCTACACAAAGGAACCCAAACAAAATGCACAGCGGCACGTCAAACCTCTGCTTGGAGGCACACAAAGTTTTAGCCCTGACCGAAAAACTTCAGAGGCAAAACGGCAACAGGATTAGGACTCACAGTAGCAGGGCTAGTAACACACAGCAGATCCACCTGGATGCATAGAAATGTTCTGCTGAAGTGCTGATGAGCTGTCAGCCGCCTCACTCCACTAGTGTGTACCGCCAAACTATCAGAGGGGCGTTCCAAATGGAAACACTTGGCTCTCTCCACAGTTGTTGGACATAACTTAAAAAGGCATTGGAGTCATAGCAGTAAGTTTGGGTATGAACAATATTCAGAGAGTACTCAGGCTGTCACATATTCTCTGAGAAATTAGGAGCCAGTGTAAGGTTTTTTGCATTGGGGTGATGTGATGCACTTTTTTGTTTTGCTGAGGATGTGGGCAGCATCTT